CAAAAAAATGTCCAAAACAAATAATGTCTACAACAAATTTTTTGTTTTTTTAATTCTTCACGGGGCGGGGCATCTCCGTCCCGCCCTGCCCTGCGACGGGGCGGCGAACCTCGCCCCGCCCCACCCCGTCAACCCGTTCGGGGCGGGTTTTTTTGCCCCATTCGGGGCGGGGCTCCACGGGACGGGGCGGGGCGGGGCGGGGCGGGGCGGGGAAAATTGCCATCTCTACGCTAGGTGGACTACGGCAAGGGGTGTAGGGCATGAGGTTGCACATTTCCAAGTTGTTAACAATTTTAGCCACACACTGCTACATCAGTGGGGAGACACGAGCATTGTGGTTAGGGACGAAATATTAGAGGGTAAACCTCCGAAGTACCCCAAAATGATTGAGTTCGAGCTGTATTGTGAAACTTTCCTGGATAGGTAGCTTTCTACTCTCGAACCTAAACTCAAACCAGAGAAGGACCTAGAGGAAGATTTGAGGAAGACCCAAAAGAGGAGTTGTATTATGAATCTGATTCGGAGCCAGAGAACGAGCCGGAGTATGTACCAAGACCAGAGCCAGAACCAGGGTTTGAGCTAGACCCAGAACTAGAAGTTGACCAGGAATTTGAGCCTGAGTCATATATATCGTTCAATGATTAAGCCCCTCCGTCTAAGTTACGTAGGATTCAAAATTTTTGGACAAGTGAAGATGAAGACTAGAAACCTAGAGATGATTTAGTTTAAATAAATGATTTCGTTCCCCCTCCCCCCCTAAAAAGTAATCAGTACTTGGAATAATCCTTAGGTTTTCTTCATCGTCTACAATTTAATTCTTCTAATCGTCCCTCATGTATTCTAGGATTTAAAATTTTATGAAACTGAATTTTTTTTTCTAATCCTTTAAGATGTTGACTATTTCTAAGATGAAACTTATTTGGTGGATTTAAAGGAAATTGCACGTCAACCGGCACAAGCTGCTATGTTTAAGGATTTGTTGAGAGCTGTACAATATCGTGGTAGGCAGTAAACACAAGCGCCTCCCCAGAATGCAAAGACTAACTCCAATACCGCGAGCTCAGTTGTGGAACAATTTCATCGTTGCAAGCCCCCTACCTTTAACAGGGTGGCTGATCCTTTGGCAGCTGAGGAATGGATAAGGGGTTTATATCGTATCTTCAAGCACCTCTCCTGCACTAGCATCCAAAAAAATTTTATGTGCGGTATTCATGGTAATCGATGATGCAGGACATTGGTGGGAGTCTGTTTCATGCACTACGACTAAGGAACAACAATGCAACTTCACTTGGGCAGGTTTCAAAGAGGAGGTTATTGATCATGGTTATCTTAAGAGAATGAGTAATTTAAACTTAGTATGATATATGCGTCCAAAACAATATAGTAATTTTTTTTAACTATAAATTTACAGCATTCCATACCATCATTTCGTCACGAGCAACGGGGATCAATCGAATGCTCTAACATATTTCTGTGCAACATTTGAGAAAACTCGAAAGAGATCTCACATTTAATTTCATTTCGTTAAGATCCACATGTCAATTAGCATTTCATGAAATAAATTACGCACAAAAAATCATAATATTGTAAGGACATAACAACTTGCACATAGCATCGTACCTCGTTTGATGATAGAATTGTTGGAAGAAAGTAAGAAACTCACAACCTTTTCGCTGTTGTCTTGTCTATGTGCCAAGAAAAATGTCGAAATTATATTTTATAATAAAGCATGAGTTAACTAATGATTGTCAAATACGAAACAAAATTTTGGATACCTTATGGATTTAGGATTGATTCTGGTTCAACGTGGTGCCCAAACCCAATGCAAAAGTTGTATATATATGGGCTAAGTCCTTAAATCTAATGGCACCTAATTAGTTGTTACTAATTAAATAATAAAACTCTTCCTTAAACTTAATGGCATGAAATTAGGTATAAATGGTGTTAATTACAAGACCCGTTTTACGTATAATATTAACCTATTTAAATCCTTAACATCATTTTCTTTCCTATCAATCTAC